CCCAAAACCCCAAAACCCCAAAACCCCAAAACCCCAAAACCCCATAAGATGTAGAATAAGAAAAACCAAATTATATTTAAGCCAAATTATAAACTTATAAGGTGTATTGTATGGATATGTCATATAAAATTAACAATAAAACTAGTGGTCACTTAAGACCTCATCATATTGATTCTTTTCAATTTAATACTAGCAAGTTGTAGGTAGCAGTAGCATGGTTGAGCTCGCCTTTATTCAAGCCATCTCTTACAATCTTTCTAGGGAATCCCATTCCCTCCATAACTTGCAGAGCTTCCTCATTCATATGCATGGTTGCAAAATCTTGAGTTATAGCACAATAGTCAGTGTAGCTTAGCTTTGCTTGGTAACTTTTGCTGCCCAAGAACAAGTTATCAATCTATACTTGATTGATATCAGGCTCTCCTTGAGTTTCATTGATGGCTTAAGAAGGGAATGAGGAACTGCCAAGGCTGTACATGTCCTTTCTATTTAAAAATGTTCCATTCGTCAAATCAATCATATCATCCTGCAAAATCATCTCATCTTTGCTTACCATCCATTAGTGAGAAAGGATCTCTGGGATAGAGATTCTTTCATTTGGATCCAATACAAGCATTTTGTTTATAAGGTCCTTTGATTCATCACTGAGCAAGGGTTCTATTTAAGGGGGGTATTAGAAGCTACCGCTAGTGATTATTTGATGCAAATCGTGCATGTTCTAAGCTTTGAAAGGGACTGTTCCGCAGATCATAGCATACAACAAGACTCCTAAACTCCATACATCTGCGTTGAAGCCTTCATACCCGCTGTCAGAAATAATCTCAGGAGCAATATAAGCTGGAGTGCCACACTGCTCAGTTATTCTCTAATTCTTCTTGATGATCCTTGAGACACCGAAATCGCAAATCTTAATTTCGCCTTCATTGTCAAGTAAAATATTGTCTAGCTTGATATCTCTGTGCAACACAGATCTGCAATGGCAATGTGCAAGTCCATACACCACTTGCTTGAATATTTTTCTTGCCTCATCCTCTTCTAGTCTTCTTCTCTTTTTAACATATTGCAAAAGATCACCGCCACCAGCATATTCCATGACCATAAGTAAATGCTTGGGAGATTCGAATACTTCTAATAGTCTGATCACGTTTTGATGTCTAACTTTCTTAAGTAAATGAACTTCTTAAAGCACTTTCTTCTTTTGATATTCATCCTTCATTAGAGATTTATCTACAGTCTTTATAGCAACTTATTTTCCTGTCAATTTATGTATACCAAGAGTGACCTTGCCAAAAGCTCCTTTACCAATAAGCTTCATAAACTTGTAGTAATCCAATGTGGTTACTGGGACTTCTAATCTTTTATTAGTGTATAGTTTGATGTACTTGATCAGCTTATCTCTCTCTTCAATCAAGCCAATATCATCATTGTAGATTGATCCATTGGATGTAATGATTTGATTTTATGTAGGAGGAGGTGGTTGAAGAGTTTAAGTATTCTTTGCTAGCTACTATGATGGCTGGATCAAGTTAGTAGTAGCTCTTCTATGAGTGAGTCTACTCTTTGGTGCCTAAAATGGAACTGCTTCATTACCCTCATCAGTATCATTTTCCTCATTTGTAGCAGCTTGATTATTTTATGGATAGAATTTTTATCTTAGTGGAATATCTTCCTCATCATTTTGCAAGAACAGAGAATTCTTTCTTTGATGGAAGTGCTACTGCTGCTAGTGATTGTGATTTTGATTACTGCGAGCTGACTAATCACATTTAGAGTATTTTCCCTTTAGTTAATCATGTTTTTCACTGAGGTAGCCTCTTGAGTTTGTTTGAGGATCAAGGACAACATACTGCTACTATTGATTAGAATTACCAAAAGCAAAGTTTATCTTTGAATTGTATTGGTTATTTGGTGTTGCTAGAATATTTTGAATGTTTTAGTTCTGCAATCCACTGCCAATAGAATTAACTCTTTTATGATTTTAGCTTTACTTCATGTAATTTGGAAACTATTGCTGATTTTGAATTAATTATGAATATACTAGGTTCTGTTGCTGTTATAACTGGTGCTGATACTTCATTGATTACGGATCATTCAGGGCATCTGGGGATTACACTCCATCTTAGCTGTTATTATTGCTATTGAATAGCTTTTGGCTGCAGTTGAATAGCTTATTGTGGTTGTTATGTAGTTTCTGTGAAGCGACATGATGAGATTAAGGAAAAATCTAAAAATTTGTGTTGACAATGTTTCCATTGCCATTAACATTAACTGGAGCGTAATAGCAGACAATATTGTTTGTGTTGTCAGTACTTGATGATCTTCCACCATTATCATACTCTTAATCTGGAGAATTGAGTGGTAGTTTATTTCTATAGGGAGCATTTTAATTCTTTTCCATGTCTGTAGCTGGAGATTTTACATCCTAAACACCTTTGTAATTCATTTGAAAGCCGATTCCTATGTCAGCTTATTCTACAAACTCCTAATGAGGAATGAAATCAGCAGAATTTCTTCTGTTGCTAATGTTCTAGGAGATGTTTTTATTATTCTTTTCATCTACCTTGCTATTCGCCTTAGGTGAATTCTTGCAGGTATTTGCAGTAGTTGCTGGTTGAACTTTGTTACTAAATTTATTTAAATCTAATTTCATCAAATCCTAAATCAAGTTAGTCATTTCTTGCTAGTTGTTCTATAAGTTCTTGCAGTTAATGATGCTCTTATCTTCAAGATATTATAAGAAGTCCTTAAGATTCTGAATTGTCTCCTCATATTCACTATCTTCATTCTAAAGTGAGTTCTGGTCATTGAATTTAGTCTGCTTAATGTATTTACTGAAGAAATTAATTATCTCATCCTTTGGATTCCTTAAAACATGTTATTACTCTTCATATAAGTGAGAACTGGGATTTCGAGAGAGCTATCTTTATTGCTATAACTCTTCTTGCTTGTTAATTAGCTTATTTGAAAATTAAACTTGCTAGCTGAATTTTCTTAGCCCGAAATTGGCATATCCTGCTCCATTAAGTTTTTATGATTGCAAAAGCAGCATAGATTGTTCTTTCATATGATCCTAGATGAATTGATTATCAAGGCATTGATCTGAAACAGGACCACAACTTCTTCTTTTCATTTCAAATGCAGTCTTTTAATCAAAAAGTGAGCTGCCATTGCTTGTATCTTCGTTTTCATCTTGATATCTTTTGTTATGAGTCACTTTATAATCTTCATGGTGATTGATAAGCTTCCTGCTCTAGTTTGAGACAATATTTTGACTCTGAATACTTTCCCTTTTACTTTGGTAGTTGCTATTAAAATCTTTCATCATGCTTACTGGGATAATGCCGTACTCGTTTTTAACAGTTTAAGGTTAAAGATACTGCCCTGTGAGATCAAGATTTTTATACCTCTCATTTGGCTATGTGATTGTTTTTCTCTTATCTTGATGTCTTGGTGTTATTTATGGGACGTGATTTACTCTCACATTCTCATCGAAGAATTCAATTTATGAGACCTGTGAAACTAATTTCTTTTGATTATGATTGAGTTGCTATTACAATTATTGAACCTGAGTTATTTAGTTTTAAGATTAGATTTATAGTTGCTGTTGAAGGTATTATTTCTAACTCTGAGTGTTACCATTAACTATGTTATTGAACTACTTTTATAGAGGCTAAGTTTGCTAATTAAAATTTTCCTGGTCAAGAACAAGACAAGTGACATTAGAGGAAGAGGGTTTGGAAGAGTTTTCTCTGGCGTTGGTAATGTAATTGCTTACATTATTTGATGTAGCAATTGAATTGCACTTTTTATGCAAAGCCATCATCATTTTAGAAGAGGCAAATTGCTGAGAGCCTTTATTGGTAACAGATGCATTTTATGATACATGCTAGTTGTGATTAATAAGAGTAGCATGATTTTTAGCTGCAATAATACTTTGCATCATAGCCTTACTTTGGCAAGCACTATTGTTATGATTTTCAGAATTTAGATGTATTTAAGTTACTGGTGGCTTATTCTAGTGAGGTAAATGATTTTAATTGCTTGTTTTTTATGATAACTCACTGAGCAGATTGTTAATAGAGAATTTGAGTTTTTGAGATTTCTGGCTTTTGATTTATTGCTATTATTGTTGAATCTAAAGGTAACTCTGTGAGTTCGCAATTTGATTCGTGTTTTCCTTTTGGCTCGGCTCGAACTAATTAAAGATTAATTATTGAGTTGAGCTATTCTTTGTTGACTAAGCAATGGTGGGGCCAAGAATATTCTGATTAGATGATTTGGTGCTTTGACTTATTGTGCTCATAGGGCCTTTAGACAGCTCTTGATTTCCCGATGCCTGTTAATTTGTTGCAAGGCACTGATAAAATTTGAATCAGACAATAGTATATTTACCTTTTTAATGACACTTTTAGTTTAGTTATTGAGTTCACTCTTCATTTTTTTGTATTTCTAGAGTTTAAGCATATAAGCTCCCGCAGAACTGCCACTGAGACTGCTTGTTGCAATCTAAATGAGATTAAGATGAGTTATGATTACCTCGCTGAGAGATACTTGTTGGATGTTTTGATTTGAAGGGTTTCGGCGATGAACAGTAATTGATGAATTATTACTCAATAAGATATTTGGTTTATCATTCGCTTTAGCTAGAACAGGTTAACTTTCACTTTATATTTGCGCCATGCTTTGCAATTTCTCATTGTTCAGCAAGCTTTGTAAATTGGAAGTTTGTGCCAAGACATGCTTGCTAGGATTAGAATTTTCCCTAGAACTGTTTTTGCGAGTGTGGCCAACTGAACCTGAGATAATCGACTACGGTATTTGATTTCCTCGTTTGCCTGATTTCATATTTTTTGTTAAATTTTGTTATTGAAGCAATTCAAATTTTAAATTTTAACTTCTACTTGATAATTATTTAGTAAAGTAAAAATGTATATTCCAAGTTATTAATAATTCTTATGCAGTTCATTTATTAATTCCTTATTTAAACTTTGATAGAAATTAAAATATGCATAAAGACGTTATTATCAATAGAATATGCTATGATCGAGTTAAGGTCCGAGTATGTAAATTCATCTCTAACCTAATATTCAATTTAGGAGCATACCTAGCATTACCAAAGATTGCTCGAAGTTAAACCGACACTAGATATGAAGCCACCATTACCAAGAAAAAAGTAGATGAGTGGAGATACTACACCAATGAAAGATTCAGCTTGCATAACTAAAAAAGACCGAATAAAAATAGATAGAAATTGCGAAGTCTAAAAGGAAAATAGAATTATGCTTTAAAAACTCTTAGATATAGACTTAAAAAAATCAGAGCTTAACAAAAAAATGATAAAACCTGTAGTTTTTAAAATCAGAAGTTTTTCAGCAGGAAAAAGGTAATCAAATCATCCCTAAATTAAACTCAATGCTAAATCGCATGTGGATGAGCTAAGGTAAATTGGAGATGAGAATAAAATCATATTGAGGAAGCTACAGGATGTCAAATCGTAGATAAATTTCAAGCAAATTGAAAAAGATCACAAAAAGATGCATAGTCTTTCACTTTAAATGTCAAAGAATGCTGGCAGAATACCTAGACATCCTTTCTTTTAACATGATAACCCTTGTACCACTTTTTACCGTGAAACAGTGAATAAACCAAATTAGCAAAAACTTAGATTGATGAAAGATTACCGAATGTTCTGTCAAAATCTCTATCATGAGAATGATGTGAGATAAATAGAGTCTGCCCTAACACAATTCGATAGGTATACTCATTAACTCAGTCAGAAAAAGAAAAAACACAAGTATAAACTTAAACAGAACTCTGTAAGCTATAACTAACTATCCTAAGAAGAATTTAGCAGATCTGGGTACTAGTTAAATATGTATGACTCTCTGCCAAACCCTTATAACCTGCCAGCAAGTTATAATTACAACACAATTTCCTATACCTAATCTTAAAATTTAAGAAATGAAGGGCATGAGTCTTCTGAAGTACATAATAATTAAAAGGACTCATTAATGAATATAGAATAAAACTAAAATATATAGGATAATGGATAATCTAGGCATATTCATGATATAATTAATCATCCAGCAAATACAAAGAATCAATATTTGATGACTAGCGCAGATTAGCTTCAACCTTTAAATATTGGAAATTCTCAAATGAATAATTAAAATTTTGCTACTCTTTGATTAAATTATTTCAATCTTATTTTAACTTTCGGGGTTTTGGGGTTTTGGGGTTTTGGGG